CCTGGCCACAATACGCTCCAGCACCTTTGACACAGCCCAAAGAATCGAAATGGGTCTGTAGTCTCCCATCCCAGCCGGACATCTCACCTTGGGTATGGGGCATATTACCGCCGACTTCCAGATACTCGGAAAGGTTCCATTTGAGAGACTAAAATGAAAGATGTGGCCCAGAACGGGAAGAATACACGGCAGCGCCCGAAACACCAACCTATTAGGCAGTCCGTCGACCCCCACAGCCTCCGATGTGCCGCAGTTGTGCCGCAGAGCCCTGATTATGTCGGAGTTCTCTATGTTACTTCAGTAGAACCTAGAGTCCTCGTAGCCCGTCTTGCCAAGGTAGAAAGCAGGGCGCGCAAGCACTCTCCTTGCGCCCATCGCAGTGGTGCAGTAATACTCATTAAGGTTCTCAATGGAGACGACGAGTCCCCCGACCCTGCCCCTGGATTTCAATAAATCGAGGTGTCTGAGTCTCTTCCAAATGGAGGTAGGACTTTTGTCCCCCTCCATTTGGAAGTCAGTCATGTAGAAGCGTGCACTAGCACCTGAGTACGATTTCGGAGCGCCCGGTGCTTCGCCTCGGTTCGATCCCTCCTCCATGCCCTCCTGGTCCTGTCTTTGGTCCGCATAGCCGACCTGATTTCTTCCGTCAGCCATGGTGCAGGAAGATGTTTTGGTTGTATGCACCTCAGCAAGGCATGTAAATTATAGCACTCAATGAGAGCACCATTCTACAACTCAACCTTTTCATCAATATCGTCCGTCATGTAAAGTGTATTCCAATCATATACCTCCAGGTCCCTAAGAAAATCTTCCTCGTCAAAAGCACGAAAGTCACGCACTTCGATAATGCGTCTGCTAGAGCGCTCGATCGTAACGTTCAACCTTATACTGATGAGATCATGGGCAAACAAAAAGCAGACATCGCGCTGGTCGTATGACAGTAGTTTGTCCACGTCGTCTATGATACATAGGCTCAGGAGCGTGAATGATGTGCGAGTGTGATGAGTCGGAGGAAACGGGACAAGGTAAAGATCCGTCGCCTCCACAAAAGATCTAATCAGGTTCGAATCAAAGGTGGAAGAGCACAGGTCAGCATTAAAGTCACCGAAGATGACGAGGTGCCTGTAATTCGATGAAAGATCCGTAAAAACATCGAAAAAGTCAGAGAGCCCATTACAGTGAAACGGCCCATAGACCACCGCAAGGAGCACGCTGGAGTTATTGCAAGTGGAAATTTCTGCAATTAGAAATTCAGACCTGCCCGCGTAGGCGCCCTTCGACCGTTTCAAAACTCTGACCCGAAGAGAGTTCAAGGCGTACAAGGCCACCCCCCCCTCCGTGGCCCAATTTGTCACACCTAAAAACCTGATACCCCTGCAGTGAGACCATACCGTCAGAAATGCCTGGCTTAAGCTAGGTTTCAGATACGCATATAATATGAAACTGAGATCTCTCAAAATGGATGCGAAACTCATTCAAGTGCGCCATAAGAGACTGACTGTTTACACGACAAATTTGCAGATTGTTGTTGCTCTCTATATTAACCACAGTTGAGAGCCTTCGTTTTCTCCGCCCTTCTCCGCAGTACAGGACACCGGCCGCCATCAAGAGCCGAGTGCTGTTCCCGCGAAGACCATCTCCTACAATTTCCATAGACGGGAGGCCCTCCCTCACAGCGCACGCGCGTGTCTTATGGTTCCCCGCGCAGTGTCCACAGAGCGGGTCACATTTACAGTTCTTAGCCATATGCCCAAAGGCGAGACATTTATAGCACTGTAGGACCCTGACAAAGTCAGATATACTGCAAGCCGAAAAACTAATAAATACTCGCCCCTCCGCCAGCAGAAAGGAGCGTATCTGAGGAGTCACCTTAATGATACAACTCACAGTCCCTCGGTCCCTCGCAGGCGGATAAACGTGAATAACCTTTAGCCCGGTTGTGTCGAAATTCTTCAGATTCAGGATGATGAGCTCCGACCTGATGTCCTCACCAGACAGCCGAGATGGAACCCCCCTTATCAGTAGTCAGGGATTAGCTCTTTTCTCCTCCTCAAGCCTGAGACCAGCGCCACTGAGCTCGGCGGATTCGTTGATTTTCGGTAGATCCACCGAGAGCGCCAAAACGCGAACTCCGTTATTTTTGATTGGTGTTACTCTCTTGACCCTCAAATTGAAATCAGAGGGTTTGATGGCCTTCTGAAGCGCCATTCTAGTCTCCTCAGAGGTGGTAAACTTCTTAGAGGCGTCATCCTTAGGGACCACAATCAGGCTGGTCTCCTTCAAGGCGATCCCGACCCCACTCCCCGAGGAAGCAGTCGCCTCCGCGTACGAACGCGCCGGGGTATCACAGGTGCCAACGGTCCCACTCGGCCAAGAGTCCGCTTCGGAGGCTGCCCGGGCCTCGGCCAAGACATTCCTGACAATGCCCTCGATAACCTCCGTAGAGGGGGAGAACACCGTATGAATGAATGAATGAATGAATGAATGAATGATATTTATTAGCTTTCTCAGCTATTTGCATACATAATATATATCTTACAAATTGTAATAGTAATATTATCTTAAAGTATAGGCAGCGCAGTCATTATGTGTTTCTTTAATATACGCTTAAATACTACAAGTCTATCGCACCGTATAGAGAGAGAGAGAGAGAGAGAGAGAGCCTCTTTGCGCTCGCGAACTCTGCACCCCCTTATTGACGATTAGCGCCTTGCGCACGCATTGTTTTCCGCGATAATTACCTGATGTACCTGTGCGCTCCGGCGCGGGCGCTTGATTTGAAATTAACTTTCTTTTTTTTCCAACAATTATTATTTAGATTATTCACGTACTTTTTAGAGAGTCATATATCCCACCCGTAAGTGGCCATATAATCTACTTCTATAAGATATAGGCAAAAGTATAAAGAAATTTTTTTTATATAAAAATTATTTCAGATTCCTAATAGTTTTTATAGTAGTAAACAGTATAAAGTTTTTACTGGTATAGTTTATTCACCTTAAACATAATATATAATATCTAGAAAATTAAGTTTTTAATAGGTGCGGCATATATGCCGAACTTACCCTAAGCTTTTTATCTAAAAATATATAAAAATATTATAGTCATCCGGAAAGTTTTGCGGTTTTTTCACATCTGTATGGATATCAATTTAAGGATGTTTGATACCTACAATAAGTTAAAGAACTGTTTGATACCTGCAAAAAGTTAAAGAACTGATTTCGACGAATATGCTCTTCTCATATAGTTTGAGTAATAAGGATTGTGCAGAATGTTATCATTTATTCAGAACTAGAGCGCAGAAATGCTTCTGTTGCATTTTTCCTGAGAATTTTTAAATTCTATGGCCAAATCTAACCAAAAAATTCAAATTAAAATTCTTATAACTTTGAATTGCTTCAGTGAATCGACTTCGGCTTTTGTCTTAAGTCTTTCAACATATACAGGGTGTCCCGTAACGCTTAATTAATATTTCAAGGCGTAAAAGAGAATGAAATTTTGAACTAAAAGTTCCTCTTTCAATTTTGGCTCAGACCGTTATTTACAGAGTTATTAACGAATAAAGTTAATCAATCAGATTGCGTTTAGCCGGAGTACGCAGGAGCGTAGCGTGCCGTATGTGCGGCTCTTCGCGCTCACTTCACATACATTCACCTGTGCATTATAAACAAAGAAACTAACGAATTCTTAAATTTTTTACAAACAAGAAATGAAAAAAGGGGCTAATGAGAGTACTTGGCACGGTACTTGTCGAAAACGCAAGTTGCTTTAGAAAAAATTGCAGCTCCATATCCGGGTTTTCCCCATCCTGTATGTACATATATATAATAATGTTAATAAATTTTACCTTTCAAGATCTTTTGGAAATTTGAAGAAACTAATGGAAATCTACAATAAGAGTCATAAACAGTGGTAGTTGTCATAAGTCTTGAGTTGTAGGAAATTGATCAATTATTCTTCTCACATTCTACTGTAATTGGTTAATTTCCTACCATTTAAGACCTATGACTGCTTATGATTTCTATTATAGATTCCGCATAACGCTCTTAGTTTTACCTGTAGTATTTTTGCAACTTTTTTACAACGTAAGAATATTTATCCATTTCTTTCAGTCTATTTTATTATTTTTCACAACTACAAGGAAAGTCAATATGCTGTTGTTTAAAAAAAGGAAAGGGATATCTATTTTTTTATACGAGGGTTGTCTAAAAAATTTGGAGAAGATTAACATAAAGATGGGATTATTTGTCAAAATCATTCTGGTACTAAAATCGTACATACTTTGAAAGATAGCTGTAAAAATTGTAGCTATTTTGGACGCTCAGTTGTTGTTTGACAGTCACTTGTGCCAGTCAATGTCAATGTTTTTGTAAAAATGAAAAAAATCGAATATCGTGCCGTGATTCTTGCATTTGAAAAGCAATACGAGCAGAGTTTCCATAAGCGTCCAACTCGGCTTTAATTTGCGTAGGCGTATTGTCTTTCAAATTTAATCACGGTACGATATTTGATTTTTTTACATTTTTACAAAAACATGACATCAGCTACACAAATGACTGTCAAAGAACAACTGAGCGTCCAAAATAACTACAATTTCACAGGTATCTTTCAAAGCATGTACGATTTTAGTATCAGAATGGTTTTGACAAGTAATGCTGTCTTCATGTTGAGGCTCAAAAGTTTTCAGACAACCCTAATGCACATGTGCTTTTACACATTTTTAAGGGGTGAAAATTCCCTTTCAAAAAATTTGTTTTTTCCTTAAGAGAACAGAGAGGTCAAAATGATATCAAAATGTAATTAAATTTTAGTTTATCAAAATTACGTCAAATTGCATTTTGTAATGAAAATGTGCTTTTTTTTTAATTTATTTATTTATTTAAGAACATTTACGGGATAGTTTCATCAAATTTTTCAGACAATCGAAGGATGGATCTTTTTGAAATTATATCCTAATGTTGAAATGTTCTTACATACTTTTTGTATATGATGTACTTGTATTTGTTTATATTATAAAAGATTATTTATTTATGAGAATAAATCAATACATTGAATAACAATTCATGATTTATTTATATACGTGTATATATTTGTTTGCAATATATCCGAACGACTTAAGAATACTTCCATATAACGAATTAACCTATGCACACTATTGCCATTGTTGCTAAAATCAAACAGAACAACACGAAAGCTATACGATCAATAGCTGTGCCTGCTAGAATCCATTCCAATTGTGTGGTATTCTTTGTTGGCGAAATTATATTTTGCCGATCCCCGTCATCCGAAATATTAGACGTCGAATTAGTAGTGGATTCCTCCGTAAGTTTGCCACGTAATTCTTGACCTGGCATAGGCCGTCGTGATTCAATCTGAAAAAATTATCGATAATAATTCAATAAAATTAGAAAATCATGTTTTATATTATGTATATTTTTTTTTTATATCCAATTGCATAATTTTTTTTTATTATTACTATTATAGAAAAATTAGATTTTCTAAGCAATACAGGATTATGTAATACAGGAAGAAACATTAAATTTCAATGTTTTTACTTAAAATTGTTTTTTTGTTTTAACTAGTCTTGATTTAGTTTCTATAGTAAAAATGTATAATATTTTAATTAAATTAATGTTTTTTAACAAGTAATAACGGGAAAAAAGCCAAATTCAGCCGAGGTTAGATGTTGGTTGTCCAATAATATTTTTAATTTTTAAAAATTAAAATTTCAGTTATCGTAAACTGCGCGCCGATTATTGTTTTTAAGAACGTAATCATAAATCTGAAATATTATCACAAATTAAATTAATCGTCAATTCAATGATGAGCTGCTAGCATCTTAAATACTGTATTACCACAGTCGCAGTGGTAAAATAGGTAATTAAACACTCGACCTGGATAGAATCGGGAGGTTCCAGGTTTCAATCTTGATTGAGGTAATATATTTTTTGCAATAAGTTTCTTTATAGTATTTGCGATACATGCAGCATCGTTAACGAATTGACGATCAACTTAATTTGTAATAATACTTGAGCTTTATGATTGCGTTCTTAAAGACCGACAGTAATCGGTCTGTGCAGTTTACGAAATGTAAAGATTAAAAAATTAAGAATATTATAGGGCAATCAATATTTAACCTCCACCGCGAATTTGGCTCTTTCCTCTTTATTATTTGTTATATACGTATATCAGCCTTTATAATGTTTTTTAATTTCAGTTTGTAATTAGAATATAAAATTTTTCAAATTTTTACTTTATCTTTTTGTAGTAATAAAATATATATTAAAATAACATTCTTTTGTGTGACATGTTCTTCGTCCTTTAATTATTATCCTTTTAAATGCATGATATTCTAGAATAGCAACAAAATAATTACATACATAAAAATTAACATGACAAATACGTAAACATTTTTTAAAAATATTGAACCAATATTAAATATTAATTTATACAAAAATAGTTAAAGATCTACTTATGATTAGATTAGATAAAAATATATTGTAAAATGTATATATTGTTAAACACTCAAAAGTAGGAAATTATAATTTGACAAAATACTTGAAATAAATAATTCAAAACAGGTAGTTGTATGTAATTTATATACAACTTTTTATACATATAGTAAATAAAAGCATATTCAGAATGTGCCATACCAACGTTAGCGCGCTAACAATTTTAGAAGGCATAATGAAACCACGAGGCATAATAGGCTAGAGTCGATAACTTTTTACTGAAATACTATCATGTAATAAAATATTATGAAATAATTACTGTTACTTACTGTATCTTACCGTTATAAGTGTCAGTTGTCATATTGTTTTTAACTGAAGGTTGCTAGAAATTATTTAATGCATTTGCTGTGCTCTCTGCAACTGACAATGAGTTGCAATTTCTTTAATACATTTGCATAAAGTAAACAATAATAAAATTGTGTTTTTTACTACTGCAAGTACATTTGTATTATTAAATGACCTTTTCTTGTCTTACATAAAAAAATATCTATGCAAATATATTATTAATATAAATATATTAATATAATTAATATAATTAATATAATTAATAATATATAAATATAAATATAAATATAAATATAAATATATGTATTAATTATCTGTTATGTTTTATATTATCTAAAATAAATTATATATGAGGTATAGTGCAGCACAATAGATGCGCCATGATATTTGTGTGCCGTGACGCAGAAGGTAGTAGAAATGCAGTTTGTGTCTTAGACGTCATCTAATCCCCAATTGTTGAATTGCATTATTAATTAAACAGAACAGTGTTATTAATCGAAACGTAAAAATAAAAATAACATTACGTAATGATTTCTGCTGTATTAATTGGGTGATGTAATATTATATAAATACTCTTGTTTCTGTAGATGGTCCGAAAGTATGTAAGAAAAGTATTATTAATAAAAAATTGTTAATTAGAAGTGGAATAATATATGTATTTTTACCTACGTGTTCACTTTTAAGAAATGTTTATCATTAATTCTTTGAAAATAAACAATTTTTATATGGTATACATTATACAAACATATGAGAGTAATGCACACTTTCAATAAAACAATAATTTCGTCCTTTTAATTTATTCTTTTGTAGTAAAACTTGCGTTTTTCTTATAATAGATACTCCAAAGAATATTTTAGTGTAAAATTAAGGTTAATTAATTTATTTATTTTTAATATGTTAAAATTTGTTTAAACCTTACTGTGCCCATTGTGCACCGGATTCCTCTATATGTTAAACTACATGAAAAATGCGCACTAACATTATTGTAAGCGCGTTCTGAATGCAGTCTTAAATTATAATAAATAATCTTAAATTTTATAACGTTAATTACCACACTTATGAGATCGGAGAGTCCTAACAATTTTCCAGGCCAATTTAACAAGCATAGCCTAATATTTCGTGGAAGTGGTTTACAATAAATTCTCTTCGACATATTGATTACCACTATTGATAATATCAATGATATTGTTTCTAGACAGAGGCAGCCACTATAAAAATAAACTGTAAAAATAGAAATTAGAGTTAATGTGACAATTTATCTTGCTGTTTTGAGTAAAATTTACACAATTTGATTAAAAAAAAAACAAGACATATAAATGTCTAAATAGTTGTATGTAATGCGTACATATTATATATACATATATACGTATGTACATATATATACATATACATACATGTATGTACATATATATGTATGTATATGTATATCCTGTATATACCCTGTATGTACATATATATATACGTATATATTTATGTATGTATATTATATATATATGTACATACAGGGTGTTTCACTTCTACCGCATTTCCTTTTAAGAACGTGTTCCTGAGATAATTTTGAGTCGAAAATCCTAATACAAAAATGTCGAGGCTATAATACTTTTTAAATTATAAACAATTTAAGTTAACCAATATTAGCGGTTGA